TACAAATATATTAAACATGAATAAGTTAAGCAATAAGAATAGATGACAAAAAAAAGTTTTCAAAGTCGAACAATCTTTTAAAGAAATATTTTATCTAAAACATGATTTCGACGAGTACTTGTCTTGAAGTATTGTCTGTGTTCGCTAGACATGAAGCATAAGATTGTGATAACTAATTACTCATAGATGTTGAATGGATTATTGTATAGACACAGAGGATACTCCAATAACTGTGTGAATTATGAAATGGCTCGGTCATACTTGATTTAAAGAGATGTTAGATGAAAGATTTTAAACGTTGCAGTCTTTATCGATCATACCAAATTTATTTCGTAAAGTTATGTCATACACATAGCAGTTAATATACAAGACCTTATGCAAAACCCAGGATATAAATTCATTGAACAAATTCCAAAGTAGTAAAGAAAAACAAATTGTTTTTCACACAAACGAAAACAAATATATTTTAAACAAAAAAGACAAGCAGTACAAAAAATAACAACAGATGACAAAATTTTTTTTTTCAAAGTTTTACAATATATTATAGAAATAGTTTAAGTAAATCAGGATTTCAACTAGTATTTGTCTTGAATTATAGTCTGTGTTTGCTAGACATGAAACACAAGACTGTGACAACTTATTACTCATACATGTTAAATGGATTATTGTACGGACACAAGGGATATTTCAATAACTGTGTGAAGTATGAAATGATGTCTCGGTTATACGTGATTTTACGAGATGTACGATGAAAGATTTTAAACGTTGCTGTCTTTATCGATCCTACTACATCGATATCAACTACTTCAAGTAGCATGGAATTTTAATTGATTTTAATTTTTATTATTATCTTCTCTATATGTAAAAAGACGTGAATTTTATGGAAGTAGTTTTGCCACTTTAACAATTTAGATTCACATCTTTTTTATGCTCTTTTGAGTTTACACAGCTTGGTATGCATTTATTCCTCTTGAACAGACCACACGTTTGCTCAGAACGTTTCTCATGACCGTTGACAGAAAACTGGAAAACTATTCTGATACACTATGCATACATGAACCAACCATTTTCGTCAGTTGTGCCTAAAACTGAATATTGGAAATATGAACAGAAAAAATGAATAATTCAACATAGCGAAATGTCACGTTTAAATGTGCGTACAATATTCGTACTAATTCTATTGTATCTATGGTCCTAATTCTTTTCTTTTATTTTTAAATGCGATGGTAGACACTAAAGAAATTTACAGATTTACCGAAAGCTTACGTGTTGAAAATGCAACTAAAAAAGTACAAACATAAACATAATATAAGCGGGTTTCATTAGTCAGACAAGATTGATTTCCTTTTATTAGCCATAACTTACTGCTCAATATCTATTTACTCTTGAAAATTGCAATGACTACACATTTTAAGAACTTGTTGGTTAATTTGGTGAATTGTGATATTTATAAATACACGAAAGACTATTCATATGCCATTCAGTACACATGACACACGAAATCAACACCAAGAGAAGCGGAAAATACCAAAGGGACATTCAAAAGTAGAAAAATAAACTGACGCCATGGTAAAACGAAGGACCACAAGACAAACAATAATTTACTAAACACAACATGGAAAATTAATGACTGAGCTACACAAACGCCACCAAATACCGGGAGGGGGGGGGGGGTTAGGTGATCGCAGGTTTTACGGAAGGGTATGCAGATCCTGCTCCATATGTGGCACCTGTCGTGGTACTCATGTAAAAACAAATCCGGTAATAAGTCTAATTCGGTATGTCACGGGGAAACGAGGACGGGATTGTTGAAATTTTCGAAGCACTTCAGCACTAGGAAATCAATCAAGGGATCAAGCATCTTCATAATGTCAGTTTCAGAAATATTTTTACTTCACAAAGTAGGATTTAATCCTCATCTTAGACAAGATACTTTTATCTACATCTTTTTTTTAACAAAGCAGGACCAACTCTTTAAATTGTCCTTTAGTTTGGAATGACGAATACTTGTGTAAAGGGTAGAAAATTCAAATGTTTTAATACTACTGCAGGATAAAGGGTCTTAGATTGTATGTACTCTTGTTTTGCATTTTTTAAGTATCTACATATAATTTACATCGCCTTTAGAATAGGTAGTTTGACAATAACTTTAAAGCCCGGCTTTGATTGCAGATAACGTTGATGTTAATAATTTAGAAAAAGGTTTCGTGGAGCACTTCGAAGACCCAGCAGTATAATGTTGTTTATAAGTCACTTATGTAATTAAGGTATCATATACAGTGAAGGCAGATCCATTTCTTCATCTTTGGTTGAAATTCCAAAGGAACATAGAACATTCCCACGATTATCAATGATTTCCTGCTTGATTAGTGAAGTGGGGGTATATGTTGAGTTTCCAAGTTAATTGTCAATAACTTAATCATTTATCAAGCAGTTTATGTAATGTAATTCACACAGAAAAAAGATGTTTTTTTGAGCTTTATCTACTGGGACAACAACATGTGTGTCATTGAGGTAGGACAGTTGCTTTGCAACATTCAGGTGTTTAAAGATTGATGTAGTATGCGTATTCATAGACCCGTTCAAATTATCAATTCTGTTTTGTACCAACGACCTCACAGCCTTATTCCATTCGGAAAGAGTATCTACGTCTTCTTTCTCCCGTTTAACCTATTGCCTGACAAAAACTTCGACTGAATTCATCAGTATTTTGAAGTTGTGTTTCCAACTGATGGATTTAGGATCACGAATTTTCGTGTCTTTGGATAACACATTTCGATGAGTAATGTTAGTGACAATGTTAAAGTCACCAGTAATAACGTGGTCAGTCGGGTTATATATAAATGGGGAACTAGTGCAGAAGCAATCAGGAGGTTTAGACTTGAAGTCGTCAATATTGAGATCCCGCAACACGTGTTTGTAGTTGAAAATTTTAGTTGCAATTGGTTTGGTATAGGTATACGAAATGATAGGTACAGACTGATTTTTAAAATAGGGAAGTATGTTCGAGTGAAATGATTTATGATGAAGGATATTGCCCAAATTGATGGCATCGAGATTGTTGTTGCCAAAGGACAGTTTTAGGAAGGATCTTTTCTCCTTTTAATCGATTCCTATGCGAACTTGTTTGAAATGTCTGTGACTGGCAATATTCGATATGATAGCTGTAAGTTTGTATTGGTTTGAATGAGGATTTGTAACAGTGGTTTTCAAACATAAGATGTACAGAGAATGAAGCTTTGAAAGGGGTAATGAATAAAGCTTCTTGCGAATGTGATGAATACCCAACTGCTTTTGCATAAATGCTAGAAGATCATTAAAAGAAACATCAGGTTATAAGTAATAAACGATTAAAAGCTCAAAGTTTATATTTATCTTTATATGCACAGTACTTCCTTTTTAATTTTTCGATTTCTTTGCTTCAAGGTTTTTTATATTTGTATTGATTTTGAGGGACTGAGTTAAGAAAAAAAGTTTAAAAGAATTTACATTACTTGGTACAAAATTTAGATACTTTACTACATTAGTACAGACAAATTAGGAACTGAAAACCACCGGCATCACATGAACCTCAAACGGTGATACGAGTAAGCATCTCCAGCGATGCACTAATCACCCGTTGCAAAATTTTAAACACATGTCCAGTAGATTAAAAAATTGTACATGTACAATGGCGTTGTTATTTATTGAACAATACCATAAAATTGAGAATGGAAATGGGGAATATGTCAAAGAAACAACAACCCGACCAAAGAGCAGAAAACAGCCGAAGGCCACCAATGGGTCTTCAATGCAGCGAGAAAATCCCGCACCCGGAGGTGGTCCTCAGCTGGCCCCTAAATAAAATTGTGTGCTAGTTCAGTGAAAATGGACGTTACACTAAACTCCAAAACATATAAATGAACTAAAATTAAAAAACATACAAGACTAGCAAAGGCCAGAGTCTCCTGACTTGGGACAGGCGCAAAACTTCGGCGGGGTTAAACATGTTTTGTGAGATCTCAACCATCCTCTATACCTCTAGTCAATGTAGAAAAAGAAACACATAGCAATACGCACAGTAAAACTCAGTTTAAAAGAAGTCCGAGTCCGATGTCAAAATAGGTAACAAAAGACACTAAGCAAAATGACAATGATACACGAATGAACAAAGGACTACTAGCAGTTACTGACATGCCAGCTCCAAATCTCAATTAAACTGATTGAAAGATTATGTCTTCATCATATGCAAAACACGAACAATCCCTCCCGTTAGGGGTTTAGTATCATACCATCATAAAATATATGAGAAGAACATAACCCGTATCATGCCAGCAACTGGTTTTAAATGTGTTTACTTCCGATGCAAAGACCCTATGAGTGAATCAATATTAATACCAAAATATGCAATTCTTAATGACTTGACAACAGTATCGTAACTATATCCTTTCCGAATAAGTCTGTGTAAAGGTTTGGTTAGCTTTTGAGGTGAATGCCGACATTTTTGTGCTTTGTAATAAATATTACCATAAAACATTGGATGTGAAAATGTCTGCATGTTGATTTATATTTACGAACGATGTCCTTGTATCGATGATAAAATTTAGTAAATGTTTTGACTAGTTTGTGATATCGAAAACCCGTGTGTAATAATTTTTCAGTAATACAGAGATTTCTTTCGTTGAAATCAAATACGTTGTTACATACACGAGCGAATCGAACAAGTTGAGATATATAAACACCATAAGATTGCGACAAGGGAACGTCACCATCTAAAAATGGATAATTAACAATAGGAAATGAAAAATCATCTCTTTTATCATAAATTTTGGTATTAAGTTTCCTGTTAAAGATATAGAAATCAAGATTGAGGAAAGGACAGTGGTCATTGTTAGTATTAGCTTTATTTAAAGTCAGTTTGGCAGGATAAATCCCTTTAGTGTACATACTGAAGTCGTCATTATTGAGAGCCAATATATCATACATGTAGTATGCTGATTTGAAGAAGAAGAAAAAATATGTAGGGTGTTTTACAATTTTTTATTGAACAATGTGACCTTAGAACGATTCAGGTGAATGTGCTAAAAGGATTATCAATGTCTGATGCCTCTTTGCAATAAGAACATATTACATACATTAAAAATATGTCGACGGTTTGTCTGCAATCAAAATTCCTACATATAAAGATATGGGCAAAGAAACTCGGAAAAATTACACAGTTTTTTATGATAATCAGTTCGTTAGTAATCTAGTAAATTATTTTCAACTTAAAATATAAGAAATAAAAAATAGATTGTCACAGAAAAAATAAATATTACAAGTCTCTTGATGATGAAAAATATGAAACAAAATGGCTTATCATTTGTAAACAAATAATAACTCAAACAGCTGGTATAAGTACATTGATGAATCATTTAGTATATTGTTCGTTACAAATAGTATATCCCTTGGTCATGAACAGTGTGAGCCAGTGTTAATTTCATATCTTAAATTGAAATGAAAATAAAATACTTCAATCATGTGCCAATGTGCAATGCCACAACAGTGAGCAATAAACAGGATGTAAAAAATATTTTAAAGTATAATGTTTCAGTATATGACAGGTAACAGTTTAATGGAATTAACCCATCATTTGAATTCTGGATCTCAGAAGTGCGTCTCTGCTTCTCGTTTGTTCTCCATTGAGCATACTGGCGATCGAGGACAGTGCACCGTTAACGGAGAACTGTTTTCGTGTACGTCTGAAAGAACCCTTCAAGTCAGCTTTGTAAGCTTTGTGCAGACTGTTAAGGGCATACATCATACATCCGTCAACATCAGGTGTGAAAGATTGACATATATATTTGAGACCAATATCGTCGTTTGCGCATAATTTACATGTAGCACTGTTTCCAGCCTCGTTTTCAATATCTGTTTGTTCGGAACCTCTCGTTGGCAATTCTATATTTCCATAAATAGCATCCCGATTAATTGAAGCCACAGTATGGTCACATAAAATAACAAATGCCATAATAATTGCACTAATGGTTGCTTTCCAGACGTTCATGTTGAATTGATCTGAAAATATAAAAGTCATATTTTAAAGGTTAATTAGTTTTATTTTAATTCATTGTCAATGCAAACTTCCTACAAAAATGTGACATGCCTGGCTGGTATAGAGTAAAATAGTAAATAATGTAATAATGTATGGTGTATGTTTATTGTAAAACATTATTGGTAAATATTTTACAATAATTTATTACAAAGGAATCAGCTCCCACAAGTTATATTAACACAAACAGTATTTGGTCTCATTCTTAAGACACATCAAATTTATGTAACTCCCCCTCTCTCATGCTTTGATGATAATTCTTATAACTTAGAAAACAATACGCGCGTTTTGTTTTATATATAATACATATAAAATTTAAACAGTTTGACGACCAAGAGGTCAATTAAGAAGTTTGAAGAGCATTGAAAACCAAAAATTCATTCTTAAAACAAACAATTCAAATTATAATGAAACCCAACATTACATGAAGTACATAAAGATGTTGGAATTCGTGGATGTTAAGTTCCATTTGAATTTTTGAAAGGCTATCTATGTCTGAGGTAGAAAGATCTAAGTTTTTAGAAAGATTGTAAAGTTCATGAACAGAAAATTGACCACATGTCTGAGGTAGAAAATTTCTAAGTTTTTAGAATGATTGTAACATTTCATGAACAGAAAATTTACATAAAATGACCACATTAATAAAATTTCATTTCAACATTACATTTCTGACTACTGTGTTCGTGATTTATTTGGAAGGACGACTGAAATAGGCATAATTCACAGTTTATGGTACTTAAATAAATTAAAAACAACACTTAATAAATTTCATGCGTCCGAAGCGCTTTTTACCTTCACAAATCATTTGACCGATATGATGTGTCGGTGTCTCAACACACATGATACACGTGATTTCTCGGCTGTTGATTTTTAAACACCAGAATAGTAATCTGATTTGTAAATTTACCGATGCTGCCCCTTCTTTATATTGGCATTTGCATAGTGTAGATTCGCATGACGCGTGATTCATACATATAAGGAGGTACAACATGCTTCGCTCCGTTTGTAGTGCAGGAGGTGTAACATATAATGTTGTTCTCTCTGATAAAAAAAGCTTTTTTAGAGACGGTAGTGCATTACGGACTTTTTGTGAAAATTGTTATTGAAATATATTTTAAAAACTTTTCAAAGACATTAGGTTTATAATTAAAAATAATTATTTTTTAAATCCTCCTTCACTGCCGACACAATGTCATTTGAATGAACCCTCAGTAAAACTACGTCTTCAGACATAGGATAATATTATTTTGTTCAGATGACAAGTGTGATCAACAATTATAGCATGCTATTTCTAGTTCCAACGAATTTCTCATGATCAAATCAGCCTTAAAATACCATCCCTTGTTTACAACTTTGAAGTTTAAGAAGTTCATATCAATAACTAATTGAAAAATAACTTAACCAATACGAAACCTTGAATGAATATAAACTAATAAATCAACTGAAAGATAGCATTTGCGCTTGTGAAACTTTGTCTTTTTTGTTATTTGATCTCCTGTATAATTCACCAATTTAATTATAATTGTATGTGTAACATTAGTAGTTGAGTAGTTGAGCAAAGCTTTGAAAACACATTTTGCTAATTGGAAAAATATGAGATTCTACAAAGAAGGAGAAGATAAGGAAGGGACAGTAACTGATTATAAGTCGAGGATGTAGAAGTTAACAACTATAGGTCACCGTATGGCCTTCAACAATGAGACAAATTCATACCGCATAGCAAGCTATAAAATGCTCAAAAATGAAAAATATACAACAATAACAACGCAAAAAGAAACGGCCTGCTATCTGTAGTGTTTTATTTACTTGATTGTATTTTTGTATATTTGCCGTGACATTGTCAATTTCTCTTTAACTTATAAGTTTAATGTCGCTATGCATTCTTTCGCCTCTATTATAGACAGATAAAGCTGCACTATCAAAACGGCTGAATTGTTACAACAAGAATTTGTAGATAAAGTAAGTATTTAGTATGGTATACGGCGTTCGTACCTTTACTAAGATGACAATAACTGAATAAATTAAAGTTTTTTGCAAGATTCATTACTCTAATCCCTTGGAAAACTCAATAACATTTGCGGCTGTTGGTTTGAACGAAATAGTAATAATAAGAAAGATTTCATACACTGAACTGTACACATCGATATACCAGGGTTCATGTACATGCATATATTTCTACATAAAGACACTCAGATTGTATTATTTTTTCATAGCGAGAAAGAATATTTCAAACTATATAGATATAAGAAGATGTGGTATGAGTGCCAATGAGATAACTCTCCATCCAAGTAAAAATTTATAAAAGTAAACCACTATGTCTGTGTTAATGATTATGATTTGCCTGTAAAGGAAAGAACGTAGGACTTGAAACCAAATGTACATAAACACTACAAAATAAACCGATACCACTAACGGTTTGGCATAGTGCAAGTTCATAATCATCACATTATCTCGTTAAACTTTCCAATCTTCAAAAACCGAGGGTTTAATATGCATTTTTTAAACGCTCTGTATTCCATTACTAGATAACTTTTTATGTAATAAAATTGAAAATGGAAATGAGGAATATGTCAAAGAAATAACAAACCCGACTAAAGAGCAGACAACAGCATAAGGCCACCAATGGGTCTTCAACGCAGCGAGAAAATTCCGCACCCGGAGGTATTCCTCAGCTGGCCCCTAAATAAAATTGTGTACTAGTTCAGTAAATATACACTTACAGAAAGATCCAATGTAATTGAGGTTAGAGGTGTATCGATATTGAATGATGTTTCAATGAAATAAGGTAATATTTCAACAAACTCATTATAGATACCAGATTAAAATTTTGTTAGGTCAACTTGCGTGAACAGTAAACAATATTTTATATGAATTACAATGCACCATGATTTAAGTTTTTCAAACTTTTAACAAAATTCTAAATAGAATAAACAAATATTTTCAAAGTATTTCAATTGAGTTAAGAATTTCTGATAAGATTCAATTAAACTTTAAATTCTTCTTCCTTATTAACACGAAACTTTTTGAGGGAAGAGGAAATTCAATCAATCATTTTTTCTGATTGTTCTGAATGCTTCTGCATCAAATTGGCTAAATTAAAATTGTTTTCGAATGCAGAGGAACATTTGCATGAATAATTAGAAAATATAGAACTAGAAAATTTTCCACTGTATATTCATTTATTTTCGTGGGTATCAATTTTCGTGAATTGTGGAAAACTTGGATTTCCGTGGATATTTGATTTCGTGGTTTTGCCGATCTCTGCATACAAAGTCTATAGAAAATTTGTAATTTGTTGAACATTTGAATTCATGGTTCACCTGTACCCACGAAATTCACGAAAATTGGTATCCAACGAATAATTATGAATGCACAGTATTAAAAAATATTTAATTGTCAACTCCTTGGTTTCATACTATGAATTTTCAAGTTTGTACATTACTTGTGTAAAAGTCGTCTCTCATTTTCGACACATGTAATACTAACTCGTAGGCAGCTATGATAATTTAAAAAAACAGGGAGATCATACCAAGAGAGATATCAAAAGTCAAAAACACTAGAAAATACCATGGCCAAGAGAAAAACTACAAAAATATCACAGTCCACAAAAAAACACAGAGAGCTAAGATTGATCACCAACAACAATACACAAACCGGGGATGGAACTCACGTGTATTTTATGATAAGGCCCATAGCCATATCATGCTTCGATCTACAATAGAATGGCCCCCAACGCAGTAAATAAACTTTAAAAAATAATTGAAGTATCAGACAAATTTAACATGTTTAATGGAACATACAATTATGTAACATAAGAGTTTACCAGAAAAAAAACAAATATAGTATGTTACGCTCGTTCAGGTATTTGTTGTGAAACAATTTTTATATTGCAATTTTATTTTTATTCTGTGTTCACAACGAATGAACAAAGTTTCTCCCCAAAGGCAGTAGTCAACACTACTATCTTGACATGAATTATCATTGATATGTTCCTAATTATAAATTAACTGTTTATGAATACTAAGGATTTTTTACCCAGGAATATATTACCTTAGCTGTATTTGGCACCACCTTTCGGAATTTTTGGACCTAAATGCTCTTCAACTTCGTACCTTTTTTTGCCTTTTTAACTTTTTGGATTCAAGCGTCACTGATGCGTCTTTTGTCTTCTGGCGTACAAAATTTAAATCCTGGTATCTATAATGAGTTTATTCTCTACCATCGAGTCAAAACTAGTTGGTAATGACTTAAATTTCATTCCAAATGATCCCGCCATGTTTTACATTTTGTATTTCTTATTTTAATATGTGCACGTTGTGATAGGCCTAAATGATGAACAAGTATTAACAAAAATACCCAACTCCAAGGTAAATTCAAAATGGGAACGTCCATTGCACCTCCAGGTGAACCCTATTATAAATGTTCACTATAAGTAGATACTGCGAATGTGTGATATTCACAGGGTAATTAGATAAAATTATGAATGAACACGGACCGCCTAAAAACATGGTAAAAATCATACTTCCAAAGCTAACCTATCGACTATTACCAATTAGTAAGTATCTATTGTCGTTAGATATGAACGACCATTGATCAAATCAAAGGATATTCGCCAGTTAGCATATTATATGAATGAAAGCAGACGTTGGTGCACACGTCACTTTGACACTTACAAAAAACGAAACATATAATTAAATGACTTACAATCTTCGATGATATACAGGTGTTTACTTAGTCAATATCTACAATAACAAGGAACAATAAAAACCACTGGAATGTATGCTTTCTGATTTTCAAAAATGCAGCACATCACGTTGAAAAAATACAATCAAATATTGTAATTGAATTAAGGTTCAGACAATCGATTGACATTGATTTTACTTTGACAACTATTTAACAACCGCAGACAATAAAACTCGCTTAATTTTGTCATGGAAAAGCGTTACTTTTCGGAATTTGTGGTTAT